ACTTACCTTTGAAGAAAATTTTGAAGAAAATTCACAAGTGACAAGGAAGCCTTTGATAGAATTCATTGTGCCCATCAACGGCAATATCTTTCATCTCTTGATTTTGCCTTAGGAGATATGGTGTCATAAATTGCAATATGGGGAGTCTTTTCTAATAATGCAATAACTCCCTCAGACCTGCTTCTTTTATTATTTTGCCTTTGATCAATGTGCCTAGGGTACAGAATACTTTGAAGTTATACCACCCACCCTGCCCTCTCTTTTATCATGGTAATTGTCCCTGCATTTAATATAAAATTCAGGCTAATCAACTGGTTTTCTAAAAAAGATATCTGTATCATTTTTCTTTGTATGCTTTACAATCCATAAAAGACAATACTTTTTTGCTTCTTCTCTTTCCTCCAACTTTAAATTTTAACTTGATCCTATTTTAAATCTAGAGCTCCTTTTAAGTTTAGCAAAATCAACTAAAAGGATTGAGATTATTAGACGGTAGTCTAAGAGTGAAAGTTTTACAAAAATTGGCTTACTTGAATTTCTCTTCTAACTTGGACTTGCTTTCCCATTACCAGAATACATGCTCTTCCACTCTAAATATCTCCCATTTACCTAACTTCAGTTCCCTACTACAATTCTGTATATATGTATTTGTAGTTTAGGATATACTGGAAGGATAGCAATACAAAAATTGACTGAAAGGGCAGGTGGTTACTTCCTTCTCCTGGAGTTGCTTTCTCATGTGGTTTCTTGATGCCACATTCATCTGGGTTTTCTTCTCACTCACTAAGTGCTCTTCCACCTCCTTTGCTGGATTTTCTTCCTGATGTCTACATAATAGAATATTCCAGTTCTCAGGCCCAGACCTCTTCTCCATCTATACTTGATCTCACTGTGATCTCATTCACCTGCTTTAAACATAGTCTTCCAAATGTACATCTCCAACCAAACTTGTCCCCAAAATTCCGGACTCATATATTCAACAGATTATATCTCCAGGAGTAGATCATTTTTAAAATAATTTTTATTTTTGGAATATTTAACATTTGCATGAATCCAAGCTTAAACCTACATAACAAGGTATATTGAGAGAATTCTCACTTCCATCCACCTATTTCTTTCATCCTCCTATAGATAACCATTTTTCCTAGCCCTTAATTTATGTTAATGTTTTTTTTGCAATATAACTATATATAGATGAACTGAAACAAATGACTATGTATCAAGTGATGATGTAATCACACAGATAAAATAATTATTTCCAGCAGCTTTCAAACAGGATTTTGACTGTCTGCCCATAGGATACATTCTAAGGACAAATACGGGTACAAAGAAAGCTGTACTTATACTCATTCAGCAATCTTGTTGTTGGTGGAAATATTGGTATTATGTTTAAATTAAATGTTTATATTGTAGAATATACATTTTGGAACAATATTTTATATGTTGTAGAATATATATTTTGACAGTATACATGTTGTAGGATGGTGAAAATAATAAGAATTACATAAGAGAAAAAGAAATGACAAATCAAAGAAAATATGTGAAGTCTCTATAAGGTCAAACTTAAATTAAAAATATCAATATCACCTCATGCCTTTTTTCTTTGTAAAAATAAGTATTTCCTGACTCTGTCCATTAAACAGCCTTAGAAGTAATGACAACTCAGTAACAATACGCATCACTAGTGCTCACATTTTTATCTCTAAACACCATTCCCCACAAAAAGGAACCAGGCCTCCTTAGAGAAATAACTGATGTCTGGGAAGAGAAATATGTAAAATGAACCTGAACATCTTGTACCAGAAAAAAAGCTATCAAAGATTAACCGGGGTCAATAGGGCATAAGAGGAACATGAAAGTGTTACCACTAATCAGAGATTAAAATTTGTACACATGTAAAAGTATAATGATTGCAGTTGTCTGAAGCACACAGCATATATAAATCTTTATATTCATAAAGAAACTACAATCAATCTACCTAGCTATCTCATTGGTCACCATTGAAAGTAACTAGGGCATCAACTCCTTCCTGTGAAAGTAATATTTAAAGAGGAATAATTAAATATTTATTATTTATCTGGATAAATATTNGTATGTAAGTTTAGCACACATAAGGGAATTTCATCAAAGGAACAAAACTAAGCTTAGGCAGTATCTACTGCCCTCCTCTACAAAAAGGTAGAAGTAGGGTGTTACTTCAAGAGTGTCCAAATCTGTCTGCCAGAGGTTTCTGTTTGGGACCTATGTACCAGAGACGAAAAAAATTAAGACTTCTTAGGAGTTTGCCACAGACTGGGACCCCACTTGGTCTCCCCCTCCTAAATTCAGACTCACCTAGGCTACTAGTCACCCACCTCTTCTCCCTTGCACACCTACCTATATGTAGTAAAGTTCTCAATTAAATTTAGTGTTTATCATCTTAGCACTTTATATGGGAAAACAGAGCATAAATCCAAGTTCTTAAAGAGCCTGATACATAGTCGTAGCTTATTAAACATTTATGGAATGAGTGATGTGACTGGACAAGTGACAAGGAGGCCCCTCTTTCAGACCGAGAATTATTGTCTGTGAGCCAAAGGAAATAATATTCTGCCACAAAGGGATCAGAGAATCCATTTAATAACTAAGAACACTTGAGATTCTGCTCCTTAGTCAGAAAAAGACAAATAGTCTTGGGTCTCTGGGAAATCAAAAAGCCTCAGAAAATCTCAGTAATTCCCTGAACAGTCTCTCACACAGAGCTATGCCTTGGTGTTACCACTTCCTTGAACACTCTACTCCTAACTGATTTTTATTAACTGAATAACTTGCGTACTAATACTTCAAACCTACTACCTCTGAGCTGCCAGACCTTGCTTTTCCTCTTCTTCAGAAAGTACCATAATCTTGCTAACTGCAGTGCATAGTTTACATGTGTACCTACCTAACCAGAAACATCACTAGACGCCCATAATATGAACATGGACAAAATGTCATCTCTGCCCTCATATAGTTTGCATCAAGTTGGGGAAAGAAGACAGAGATCATAATAATCCAAAGTACAATGTGACCAGTGCCCTCAGAGAGAGATGAAGATGGTTCAGAAGAGGGAGAGGTGAGATTACTGGACTGCATCAAGATGACTTTCTTCTTGGCTCTGGTGAACCTCTCATGCCTACCCGGCTTTGGTTCCCAGGACTTGGCCTTGTCCTGTCTGACATGGGCTCCTCGTTACCTCTGNCGGATGCTGCGGCGCTCCCTCGGGGCACCGGATGCTCGCGGCACCATTCTCTCCCCCCATCCCAACCCACCCCAGTCAAAGCCTACCTAGTCGCGGGGACACCGACATCCGCACGCACTTTGCGGTCCCCGCCGGTCCTCCCTCCTCACACCTTCGCTCTGCCTCTCGCTTGCGTCCTCACACTGCGCGGTGCCCGCTTAACCTTCCTCCCGCTATCCCATCAAGAAAGTGGCTTTATCCTCCTCCCTTTATCCTCCTCTCATCCTCCTCCCACTCCGAGCTCCGTCTGCTCCAATAGGACTCGCGGCTCCCCGGGCTGCGCTCACCTGATCAGAGGAGCGGGGGTGGCCTCCCAAGGCTGTGCGCCCTCGTCTGCGCAGCGGGCAGCCAGGTCCGCACTCCAGCCTCGGGAACACCCTGCCTTGACCATCCCTAATGGATTCTTCCAGCAGAGAGGCGCCTAAACTGACCTGTGTGCTCGCAGAAAAGCCCGAGCTTTGCCTGTGCCGGTGCGTCCCCGGCGAAATGCCCGGCGCGCGCTTTCTAGTCGTTGGCTTTGAACAAACTTTCTAGTCTGTGTCCTTAAGCACGGGGAACCCCCTCACCTAGAGAGCAGGGCACTCCAGCCTAGGTACTCTGCTGTAGGCAATTCCCGGTTTTCTTTGCAGGGAGAAAAACCACTTACTGAGTCTTGTTCGTTCCTAAACACATTTATTTTAACATTGTCTAAGCAGCCCTGAAATGTTCACCCCATGAGAATTAGCGCTTACATTGATGAAATAGTAGAAATGAGGAATCTACTCTTGCATACGCTTATAAGCAGAGACTAAGGTCAACATCTGGGTAAATTACCTGTCTTCTCATTTATAAAATAGAATTATTAATCCCTGCCTCAGGCGGCTGTTAAAAGGCTTAGAAGAATGTGTGTAAAGTGCAACTCTATTTAAAGTACACTAGCACGTGGTAAACCCTCAACAAATGTTGGCAATTATTCGCAGGGCTTAACAGTGCAGCCCCCAAGGTCAGACCATATCATCAGCAACGTGCAAATGCCCATCTGCACCAGCGATTTTTAAAAAAAACAAACACAGGCAGCATTCTTAGAAGTGTCAAACTGGGAGGGAGGTTAAAGATTAGCAATTAGCAGTGCAACACCCATTTTACCGCTGATTTTATGTAGGAAAAAATTAGGAGCTGATTGATTAGCTCAGTTAAAGGCAGAAACAAGACTAAGTCCTACGTCTCCTAATTGCAAATACAGAGCATGTGGCACCCTTCCTAAGAATAGGATTAACTAGATAGTCACTTAGAGTTGCAAACTGCTATCCAGGTGTACTAATTTAGCATTATTTTGAGCTGTTGCTGAATACTTAAAGCTGCAACACTCAACAAACAGCTGGGCATCAAAGGCAANGAAGTATATTAATATTACCTAATTATCAAAATTCATGGCTAAAGAAGCTAACAAATCTTATTTTCAATTAGCACACAAATACAAATCCTTGAATTATTTCCACAAGTTTCCTCAGAGCACTCATTCATTTGTTATAACACATAAGAAAAACATTTTCTTTTACATGTATTCCCCATGGAATTCTTTCTTGCAGCAAGAGAGCAAAGTCAATATAAATAATTAAGAATTGTTTCTTCTTTGTTAATTTTGAGTTATCTTACCCAATTCATGTATATACATATTTTCTGTTTATTGTGCATACCACATGTAGAAATAAACTATTAAAGAGTGCCACACAATGCCTTTTTGAAGATGGATTTTATTTGAAGCTATTCTGTATCTTTCAACCTGTGCCACATTTCAATAATGACTATTTAATAATTACAATCATCTCCTTATTAGCTTGGCATTTCATTTTCCTTGCCCTATGGCACCCTACAGTTGAAAGCCAGGAAAACTCTCTGTTGATTAGTTATTTAAGACCAGCAACAATAACTGTGCTGGAGAGAAGACTACTTGGAGAGGATTACCTAAGATCTAGAGCTCAGCAGCCTCAGACAGAGAGCAGCAAATTAGAAACCCAAGTACTTCGTTGCACGTAACCAAATTGGCTAGTTGAAATGCTAATTGCCTTTCAGCAAAACTACAGACAGACAGGGGACCTTGTGCTTCAGAGAATGAAATGTATTTTTCCTCCACTTCTGCATTATTGTCTCGCTGAGAATCATTTGAAATCTATTCATAAAGGTAGCTCTTTCCTTAACCTTTAAAATGTGGGAAATTTATTTGGCCTCTACCAGCACCTCCAATGTGATGTGCCAAGATGTGAACAGATGGCTGGATTTAAGCCCTGTTAAGCCCCTAATAAAGTAGAGCATGAAAGAATTCTATGCTCAAACAGTACAAATCAAGAAAATGTGCCTAGGGGGGAAAATGTCTGAATAACAAATTTATGAAATTAAAATAATCAAATAATGTAATCTTTAAAACATGAATATTTTCAATGTAACTAAATTCAAACACATATGGAAAAAGCAATCGTCGTGTCTCTCAAAGAGACCCCCAGCCTCCCTTTATACCTAATAATTTTGTATTAGTTCAAAACTCATTTATGGACAACTATTCCACAGTCAGTTTGCCCCTTTATACGAAAAGAGGTCCAATCTGGGTTTTTAGAATGCTGAATAAATGCATGAGAAATGCCCTGTCAGCATCGTGCTCTCGTTTGAGGTATACAGCCAGACTTATGCCTGACTGCACCAGAAAGGGCCCCATGACCACCTGCCCGGCAGCTGGGGAAGAGACTATACATTTTAAAGTGCATAGTGTGTCACAGTGGAATAAGAAAACACAGCCTTTGTCCTCCACAGCCTACTGTGTCCCAACTCACCCTTCTCCTCCTCTGCCACACCTCTATCAGGGCAACAGAGCACAGGTGCTAGGGTTTCCTGTGTGGCCTGACATCCTGGCATGTCATACATGCAAAGATGCCTGCTATCCCCCTAATCCTGCCTTGTGATGGGAGAAAATAAGCTTGCGTGCATAGGGAAATCAACCTTCTATACTACTTCATTGTACCTGAGACAAAAAGGGTCCAATTTATTAGTAGTATGTTTATCTTCATTTCTCAACAAATGTCTTTATTTATATGAAGTTTGAGCTGCCAGAAAGTGATAGAATACTAACACTAAACAGAGCTTTAAACCTTAAACGGTTTCAATAAATAATTCAGCTCTCACCCTGATTCAGCAGGAGTTAAGGGGAGAAAGACAGCTCTCTGGCTGGATGTTTATCACAACCTTTGGACAGTGAAGTTCCTGGTGATTTTTCTTTGTGTCTGTACTGTTTGAATTTCCTAAATAATTTTGTATTATTTTTACAATCAGAAAAAAAATGTTAAATGTTATTTCCCAGTCAAAGAGGGAGAGAGAGAAATGCATACTCAAGAATGTATAATACTTCACTGGGTGATTTTTCCCACAAAATCAGGGAAATGCCCATCCAAATCTCTCCATGGTAAAATACCGTATTTTATAATCAAATTAAACAATCATCATCTAAGGAGCTCAATATGCTTTATAAGCATCTGTAAATTGTCTAGCTGCCTTTTAGGTGAAGTATAAGTGGTGATGGCACAGTGCTTCCAGTGGACAGGTTTGGATCCCGTGCATAAAATGACTTGTGACAAGTAAATAGGTAACGAAACCATTTATTCAATGTATTAACCACTTTGCTAAACCCTAGAGATACTGGAGAAATATATAATACAGTCACTGTCCTCAAAGATATTGTATCCTAATTGGGGCAATCTTGAAATTTTCAATAACAGTAGGACAGCAATATAAAGAAGGGCAGGAGGCAGCATTTGGTTGAGTGGCAATAAATCAAATATTTAATGATCAACTTAACCTATTAACATGCTTCTCACTTATTAGTTTACGGGAATGTACAGATCACTAAAGTCATAAATGAGAAAATAGGATATGTCACTTTAAGTAAGGCTCTTAACTTTTTTCAGGTTTCTGTTTCCCCAAACATGAAATACAGGGGTTGGTCTAGTTTGGCTGCAAGTCTGTTCCAGTGCTTAAGGATTTCAATGTTTTCACAATCTACAAATTTCTGAACAATAAAGGGTCACACACTTAGAGCCTAAGGCAAAAGGTATTTTCTTTGTGAGTCCTCCCAGAGCACAATTTTTCTGCCTCAGTTTCTTCATCTACAAATCAAGATAATATTATTTTATGATTAAATATGGTAGTCTATTTAAAGGGTCTAGAAGAATTCCAGGACATTCAATAAACATGGCATACTATTATCATTCATCACGAGTATATGGGTGACAAAAGGGTTTAGTCACAGCTAATTCTGCTGTAACTACTCTTTTTCTTTGGTGGTAGGTTAGGCAAAGACACTTCCAAGTAGAAAGATATCTGAGCTACTTTTGCTTAACACTAGCCTCTGCCTTCCCATGTTATTTCTAATTGTTCTCTTTGTTACCATAAAAGTATTTGTATTTCACACATATCCCCATGTTATAATTTTCTGACAATGAATGCAATGTGCATTCAATATCTAACAAATATATACATATAAAGCATAAAACTGTAATTGTTATTAAAATATAATAAATGCTCACTGATACATCATTTTTGTATCTGATAGTATCAAGACTCAGTGTTGTTACATAATTTATCTTCACCCCATTACGAACATTATGAATCTACATTTTAGTCTAAGATTATTTCTTAGCTGGTTGTTTACAGGCAGTTTCAGCTTTTAATCATCATATTCAGTACAGTGTAGATGCTCAGAGCGCTCAGAGAAAACAACCCATGATCCAGCTCTCACTAACTGGGGAGCTTTGGACAAGGAGCTCAAACTTTCCACACCTCAGTGTCATCATCTGTGAACTGGGATAAATACTATTTAATTTATGGTATTGTGAGTGTTACATAAAATAATCTATGTAAAGAGCGTCTCGGAATCCATGCCATAATGGACATTCATTACAGGATAACTGCTAAGGTCATTCATCATGGAAATCAGAACATGGAGATAGGATTCAGTCATACTTCCTTTTTAGTGTATACTTTTCGATTACTTCTTTTAATCTCGAGACACATCATTTCTATCTGAAACAAGTATTTTCAATCACCTAGTCCAATCCCTTTACTTGATAAATGAAGAAACTAAGGCCCAGAAGGATGGGAGTATGTCCAGTCAAAAGATCTAATGGTAGATCCAGGATGTTACA